GAACTGGTTCCACTTGATGCCTGTTCACCATTATGTGTGAATTCTAGAATTTCTTCTGCACTGCGGCTTGAAGCTAGGTCTTTCAGTGTAATGGAAGGTAAAATACCCTCCACTAGAAAATGTTCTCCATAATCAAGGTTTCCTAAAAACTGGTCTGATTTGATCCCTGAGATGCTGCTATTTATGGGACTCATAGAATAACGCAGAGAAACCGCTTCTGTTTTCAGGACTAGGGTGTCTCGCACAGATGTTAAATCTGGAAGATGCAAAGTGTAGGACGTTAAAGATGTTTCCAATAAGAGATGGTCTCCATTATTGTGTACTGCTCCATGTTCTTCTCCAATTGTGGTAGTTGTGCTATCTTCTGTTGGGTGAATGAAAAAATGAAGAGAAGCGTCATTTGATGTCAGAATCGAGATGTCTGGAATATATGAAGCATCCATTGTCTGCAGTGTAAAGGATGGCACAATGTTCTCAAATAAGGAATTTTGCAATTCTGCAAAACTGCTAATTACAGCTACTTCTTCTATATTTGAGGTAGAATATGTATTGTTGTAGCCTTCTGCTGGATCCTTTGTAGGGTAGGGAAATCTTTCTAATGCTGCCATATCTGTGGTACTTGGAATAACAATGTATCCTGTAATTGGGTTTGTAAAATGCTGTAGGGGGGTTTCAGCCATGGTATGGTGTTCTCCATAACTTAGGACTCCTGTAACATCTTCTTCATTAGTGTTAGGTGAGCTTTCTTCTGCAGAGTGCAAGGAGGAATAAAGACGATCTTCTGCTCTTGTCACATCTAAAGTGTGTGGAAGAAATGTTTGATCCTTTTGGTTTAGAGTCAAAGAGGCTTTATCTGTTGGAAACCATGACATTTGTTTCCCATTTTTAGGGAGAATTGCTGTGCTGTTCTGTTCATATGTCGTCATATCCAAAACTGTAGGTATAGATGGTTCAGACCTCGGCTTTGATGTACTTTCGATGGCGAGTGTACTTTGCATTATAGGTTCTAGTACACAATGATGGTGGCTTGTGGTATTTCTATGGTCAGGGTCCTCGAAAACATAATATTTTCCTTCAAAGTATTTGCTGGAAGAAATATGTGAAAAACTGCGCCACAGAAACACAATATGGACGGCTACAGCTTCTGTAGCATATACATGGGTATATTTATTCCAACAAGCATATACCACACTGTTTTCGACAGTGGAAGAAACACCTTCAAATATTATTTCATCCTGGTTCTCATCACAGTTTAAGTTTGTTTGGAAGCCATTAATATAAATTATAATGTGCTTCCCTGGACCAGCCAAAATAGTCCAGTTGCACCAGAGATAGGTATCCATATTTCCATAAAACACTGGAGGAGAAAATTTTCCAGACTCATTTGTAAGTTGGACATGGCAACTTCTTGCAGGGACATAAGCCAACATGGAAGCCAGCCCAAAATCTGAAAAACACACATTTTAAATTACTATGTAGAAATCCAGTGTGAGGCTTAGAACTAGAATTTAAAGAAATTATGGTTTGATGGTACCGTGGCCAATGCCACATTATCAGCTTTTTACTGAATTACAAAAAAAAAAAAAAAAAATGCCATTCAATAATTTTTTTTATTTATTGCGTAAATTTGGGTAAGTTATTCGCTGTGACAGTAGAATATGGTTAATGCCTGATCCTAGCATTGACATATACTGCATTGGATGAAGTATGTTACCATAACAACAGCTGGGATCAAATAAGTATCAAATAAGTATTAGAGTACTGAACAAATAAACACAGCTTCATTTTAAGAGGATACAGCCAGCATGTGTCGGGCAAACAATTAAAGTAAACAGATCTCTTATAAATCATTGTTTGGCACTGCGACTTCAACCTGAGCAACATATTATCCTGTATGCCAAGCTGCTACTACACACAGAAAAATACAATGTGAAGTGCAGACTACAAAACAATACATTTAAACAATCTGCTCCTTTCAAAAGGCCTGATCACAAAGGAAAGGGTTTTTAATTAACTGGTATTGATTTTTTTTTTTTTTTTAATCTATGAGATCAGCAGTGACTGAGTCAATCTCCAGCTGTTCCAGAATCTGTTTTTCATTTTTTCCTGTCTGCTCTAGTTTTCCTTAAAACAGAGGACAAAGTAGGGACTACTTTGTCTTACAGAGGTTTTTCTACGCCTGACCAGCTATGACCAGCGGAGGAGCAAAGTGTGCTTCATTTCCGGTGGTCAGAGCAATTTTCCCACAATTCTCACCTTTCCTCTGTGTTCCCGCGAAGCCTCCTTTCACTTTTCCCGAATGGCCTGTCACTTACACAGAATGCCGGCGAAACTGCCGAATTTTGTCCCAACAGAATGAGAACAGTTTCTCCCTTCGTGTTAAGACGTAATTCGGGACTTTGTTCTGATCGGAATTTCATTCGAATGAATGAAACGGTAAATTTACTAATACTAATTAAAGATTACTTAGTATTAGTAAATTCTGCCCCTACACGCTATGCCGCGAGTAGGGGCATGTCTATTAAACAATGAGCAGCCTGTGGCTATTAAAAACAACCCTAGTATTAAACTGAAAGGGGCGTGTGGGGGCCCTAAATAACAAGGGGGGGACATATTGTACTCCCACCCCTGAGCGGGTGGGGGCCCTAAATGAAAATGTGTGGGGTGGGGGACCTATTGTCCTCCCCTGGCCCACACCCCTGAGCGGCAGATGGGGGCCCTAAATAACAATAAGGGGGGGGACTGTAGCGGAGCTGCAATATTAAAATAAAAATCTCAACTGGTAGACTGTAAAAACCTCCAAGAGAAGCGCAGTACAGCAACACAATCCCAATCTCCCAATAACCAGACGATACACAGTTCTGGGAGTCAACTGATTTTTATTCTGCCACAGCTGGCTTTTATGCAACTCCCCATGCAGGGGGTTTCTTTAATTACATTCCAGGGGTTTTTCCACTGGTGGACCCTGTTGGGGACAGGGGACAAAGTAACATTTCCCAGTTTCATCCTCTGTACCTGGGAGATAATGGAGTATGGACAACTCTTTAATGACATTATCTCCCAGGTACAGAAAACATACAATATTTCAAACATTTATAATATATATTATTCAGAATTCCACAAAAGAAACTTCACCGAATGGCAGGGATCTGAGCGCTCACTCTGTCGAAATATCAATGATATAGATTAGTAGATTAGGAACGCCATTAGAGTGAAGTTTAGACCGAACAACCCCAAAATAGTCCCAGATGGTTTTAGGCTTTGACCGGTCTTCATTTGGGAGTATTCACCATTAAAATAACGAAGTGAACGGTTTGTGTAGCAGGGGGTCGTGTGCCCTATGTTTGGTAGTGTCTTTCATACTAATGCCGCTCTGTATAGGTAAAGGGGAACGAACATACGAAGGGATGGAACTTCAGCGGTGTTCGCGCCGTCCAGTGTCCGATTATAGTTCCATGCACTCGACAACCAAACACCGCTGTCTGTTCATGAACAAAGATGGCCGCCGCCACGTGTTCGGTCATACGAATGATGGCCACCCATCCGACCATTTAGAACCTTCCAGTTTATAAGTCAATTGGAAGCACATGACTCCCCTGAGTGTTCCCACTGTTCAGTAGATAGTTTGACATACGAACAATATAGCTGTAATCCGTTCAGAAACTCCAAATTGTTGAACCATCTAAGTCTCTAGTACAAATAAGTGGCTGGTTCTGCCACAGGAACCTATTGTTCTCCCCCCTCCCGACCCCCACCGCTGAGTGGCGGGTAGGGGCCCTAAATAACAATAATGGGGGGGACCTATTGTCCTCGCCCCCAGCCCCCACCCTTGAGTGGTGGGTGGGAGCCCTAATTGAAAATGTTACCCTTACAAGGTGACTAGGGGTCCCCAAGCCCCTAGTCAGCCCCCCACCCCGCAAAAATAATAATAATTAATAAACCCCTACCTACCCCCCCTCACCCTAAAAATAGTGAGGGGGGAACAAAATAACTAAGTATCTGTTAAAAAAAAACTAAAAAAAAAAAAACTTACCATTTGAGGTCTTCTTAAATCTTCATTTTTCAGCCCTAAAAAAGGCCAAATAAAAATCCAATCACACTTTGCTCCTCCGCTTGTCATAGCTGGTCAGGCATAGGAAACCTCCAGAAGACAAAGTAGTCCCGACTTTGTCTTATTTTTAAAGAAAACTATAGCAGACAAGAAATGAAGAACAGATCGTGACAGAGGGAGAAAAGAGGAATCGATTAAAGAAAGGTAAGTTCGGCATGACAGTGCCGGTTTAAAGAAAACAAGTTTTTTCAAGAAAAGGAAACTTTAATTATTATTATTTTTTTTTTTAGGAACACCCCAAACACTATGACAACTTCAATGTGCTGCAGTGGTTATGGTATCAGGCGTGCTCTTGCGCTCTCCCCATTATGAGTAGTCAAACCATTATAGGTTTTTAATTCTTACCTGTGCTTAGGAATTTCTGTTAGATCTCCTGGATAGGTTCTGCGATGCAACACCATCTCATTGGCTGAAAGCATCAGCTAATTGCTCTTAGCCAGTGAGCTAAGTGCTGCAGCGCTGAGAGCTTCCTGCTGCATTGGTGGTAGGGAGCAATGCCTGGTGGATCACAAATTACAATTCAAACTGTTTAAAAATGGCTTGACTACTTGCATATGGCAGACAGGGCCAGATTAACATAGGGACTGATGGAGCTGCAGCTCCAGTCCCATTAACTTAAATTTTTATATATATATATATATATATATATATATATATATATATATATATATATATATATATATATATATATATATATATATTTATATTTTTTTTATTTTTTTTTTTTTAAGTATATATATGGACA